ATAAAGCAATGAGAGACTCGCAACTGTTTGTGGCACGTTTCTTTATAATCTGTCAGTTGCGCCTCTGTCTTTGGGCAGAGTGTGCTCAGGGGCTACTCCGTCAAAGGACAGAGTCGCAACTGAGAAGGATCGGTACACGCAACCAACGGTAACGGGAGCTCGGGGAATTTTTGTTCCTTGCCCGGGTGTACGCGCTCGGGCTCCCCACATTAAACCTACCTTGTGTCACAACCTGACCTCGTGGGAGGGGGAGATTGAGTAAATACATATTACTCTTTTTGAGTAATTTCACGTCTACTTATCTCTCAGTTGCGTCTCTGTCTTTGGGCAGAGCGCACTCAGGGGCGACTCCTTCAAAGGACACAGTCGCAACTGGGGAAAATTATACTGAGAGGTGCCGGCCCTGAAGAACAACTGCCCGAGGCCGCGCCTTCTCATTGCACCAGCTAGAAGGATCGGTGCACGCACCGAGGCCAACGCAACCAACGGTTACGGGAGCTCGAGGAATTTTTGTTCCTTGCCCGGGTATACGCGCTCGGGCTCTCCACATTAAACCGACCTTATGTCATAAACTGACCTCATGGGGGTGGGTGAGGAAATACAAAGAAAATAGTTGAGTTGAGACTTTTTAACCCTAGAATTCATGGATATAGATAAATGTTTTTATTTCAAGAAGTCGGCGCACTGCCACTCTTTCTACAAAAAATATTTCTTTCTAACGACATTTTCCTGTTTCTTAATATTTTCCTTAGGCTCTGAAAGGCATTATCTGCTATGTGGACCTCATAGCAGAATATAGCATCGATCTAATGGAGGAACATTGTCGGTCAATAACCTTTCATATCTGGCGAGGACCCCAAATCAGAAATATTTCAGACTTCATCAGGAGTATGACAAGTAGGAAATGATAGCCACAGCCTATTGAATCTTTTTCTAGACTATGTCCTGTGCATTTATAAATACACATTTAAAGTTATGGGCACTGACAATTTAACTATTCCATACCGCACACGAAACAAATCTACCAACATTCCTGCTTTTGAGATAAATGTACTGATGATGATTGGGGGTTGCTCTATTGATGACATTGGTATTCATAGCTGGAGTGAGAAAGATCTTGAACAGAAAATCAATATCCGATATCAAGAATCTTTTCTGGACTATGCCCTGTGCATTTATAAATACAAATTAACCTTTTTATGTGGACATGTTTAAACGAAAAATTTGTCCTTGTCTTGGTGTGGGGAACCCGTTACCAAAATTTGTAAAAGTATTTTTGATACACCCTGTATATACAGAGTTGCCTCCCCCCCAAAAAAATGAATACACACTCCCGAAGGTAAAAACTTGTCCTTAGTATTTTTATTAAATTCCGATAACACTTCCATACGCGAAATTTATTTGAAATAAAGGTATTTCTTTCAACAAGTCAGCGGACTGTCACACTACCAACAAATATATTTCTTTCTAACGACATTTTCCTGTTTCTTAATATTTTCTTTGGGCTCTGAAAGGCATTACCAGCTATGTGGACCTCATAGCAGAATATGGCCACATTAATAGGTACTTCTGTCTTCCACAAATTGCATCGGTCTAATGTAGGAACATTATCGGTCCACAACATCTTACATGTATGACGAGAACCCTTAAAGGGAATCCTTTCAAATCTAACCAGAAAAATAAGCAGGAAATGAGAGCTCATGTCTAATCTTTTATTGCACAGTTCCAACTATGTTTCAAATTTAATTTATAATATTAATGCTCTGTAAATTTACATTGAGCACTATTTTGTAAAAAAATATCTATAAGAACACCGGATTTTATATCTTACTGTTCTTTCTTTTTATTTATATATATATATATATATATATATATATATATATATATATATATATATTGTTATAAAAGTTACACGCACACACCTATATCTATCTATCAATATAAATATGTGTGTGTGTGTGCATGTGTACGTGTACACATACACATGTGTTTCTATTTTGGTAAAATATACCATTTCTTACTCTAAGAATCGTTGCATTGTGCTTCGTTTTAAGTACAAGTCGGCTTCATGACCGTCTGTACAAAATTCTTTTACAACAAATTCAGTGAAATAAAAACTACGAATAGTGAAGTGTAAATAATAATACTTCAAAGGACGCGAAAACTATGCATTTTTTGTCATACATACATACAGATATATATATATATATATATATATATATATATATATATATATATATATATATATATATATGTGTGTGTGTGTGTGTGTGTGTGTGTGTGTGTGTGTGTGTGTGTGTGTGAAATCATATTGGTATGTATGTGCACAATAAGCGAGGGACTGACAGTGAGACGACACCCAGAGTGTGCTGACCGAATTATGGTAAAAAAAAAAACCATAGCCTCCGAGAAAAAGCCCCCCAGACGTAATGTCTAAATCTGATATTCATAAAAAAAGGAAAATAAGAAAAGTCTATATTTATGACTACTAAATAGTTTCTTTGTTGCTTCTTTCGTATCTGTCTTCGAGAAAATGGAAATCTTTCCAAAATGGCACTAACCTATGACAAAATCCTGCACGTAGAACAGTTTGCAAACAATTTATTTATTTGTTTTTAATTATTCCACCGCGAGGAAGGCGATAATGCCACTAAGACACAATAGAGTTCCTGAGAGCTAAACAGAATGAGAAGACATTCGTGGGGCGAAAGGAGAATAAAAGAACATATATCAGGAAGACAGCAGATGGCGGTGGACTTTGCATCTAAATTTTTGAATATCTTCGGTGGCAAGAAAGCCAGAAACCGATAGGAAAATCTCTATTAGAATAGAACGTACGCTTACATTTTCAGCAGTAATATACGAGACCTAATTGCCAATCTAGTCATTATCCCTTTCCACACTGTTCGGTCTTGTATTGCTGTCCCCAGACCTCCAATGTCCAACCCCGGTTCCGCAGCTATGGTGTCTGGGAAAATCAGTTTTCGTAAAAAAGAAGGATACCATTGGTGTAAGAATGAGATGAGATCCCATCTCCGCTTGGTGGTAGTGGCCGGCAAACTGTACTCGCTTTTTTGTTTGAGCTAAAGAGAGATTGGTCACAGGTCTCCGTAAATTGTGTTAAGCGTTGCACGAGGAAAGCCAACTGGTGTCCTCTCGGTAGCTGATACAAAATATGGGATACTGATATGTCCCGGAAAGAGATATATTTGAACGGAGTAGCTAAGTGGTTTTGGCTACTATAACCAAGTAGAATACGGTAGCAGTAATCGACTGGTACGCAGGTAAGAAGTTTAGATCACATAGTCGCAGGTAAGAAGTTTAGATCAATGGCATAGTCCAATGGGGCGTCGTTATAGACTTAGCTCTCAGACTAAGGCTCTTTGACTCTCCTACACGTCCGTCGGTATTTATGACGGACACCAGCCAATCATATTCCAGTGAGGGGGAACACAGGTGTATGCATATTCCATTATATCAGATACTAACCCTACATCCGGGTGTTTTTTGTCGAGACACCCTCTCTAGAAAGACTGCCACCCAATCCTAAAGAGTTCATTCAAGCCATGAAGTCAAATATCCTGCTCCAGACACCAACTTGAAATTTGAATTTCTGCCGACAATCAAGTAGTATGCTTCATTTCATGCAGTCGCAGTAGCAAGAAGGCGCGCTTTTTTTTCTTATTTTTTACCTACTCTGATTAGTTTTAATAGTGTAGGTACTTTGGCCTCTTTTTATTCTTTCTTTCTTTTTTTTCCTTTTTCATTCATTCATTCTTTCTTTTTTACTTTTTCATTCATTCTTTCTTTCTTTTTTCCTTTTTCATTCATTCTTTCTTTTTTCCTTTTTCATTCATTCTTTCTTTTTTCCTTTTTCATTCTTTCTTTCTTTTTTCCTTTTTCATTCATTCTTTCTTTTTTTTTTTTTTCATTCTTTCTTTCTTTTTTCCTTTTCATTCATTCTTTCTTTCTTTTTTCCTTTTTTTTCATTCATTCTTTCTTTCTTTTTCCTTTTTCATTCTTTCTTTCTTTTTTTCCTTTTTCATTCATTCTTTCTTTTTTCCTTTTTCATTCATTCTTTCTTTCTTTTTTCTTTTTTCATTCATTCTTTCTTTTTTCCTTTTTCATTCATTCATTCTTTCTTTTTTCCTTTTTCATTCATTCTTTCTTTCTTTTTCCTTTTTCATTCTTTCTTTCTTTTTTTCCTTTTTCATTCTTTCTTTCTTTCTTTTTCCTTTTTCATTCTTTCTTTCTTTCTTTTTCCTTTTTCATTCTTTCTTTCTTTTTTTCCTTTTTCATTCATTCTTTCTTTTTTCCTTTTTCATTCATTCTTTCTTTCTTTTTTCTTTTTTCATTCATTCTTTCTTTCTTTTTTCCTTTTTCATTCATTCTTTCTTTTTTCCTTTTTCATTCATTCTTTCTTTTTTCCTTTTTCATTCATTCTTTCTTTTTTCCTTTTTCATTCTTTCTTTCTTTTTTCCTTTTTCATTCATTCTTTCTTCCTTTTTCATTTTTACTCTAGATTTAGTAAGTTTATTTTATATTTTTTTCTTTCTCGTTTTTATTCAATTTTTTTCAATTGTGTTTTCTCTTTTGTCTTCTTTTCTTTCCGTTTTTTTCCTTTTTTCTTTCTTCCTTTCTTTCATTCTCTCTTTCTTCCATTATTTTTCTCTAAATGAAATAATTTTAGTATTGTTTTTTCTTTTACCTGTTCTCTTTCTTATTTTTGCCTTCTCTAATTAATTTTTTTCGTTTCCCTTATTTTGTGTCTCTTTTCTTTCTTTCTTTCTTTCTTTCTTTCTTTCTTTCTTTCTTTCTTTCTTTCTTTATTTATTTATTATTTGTACCTACCCTAATTATTTTTACTAGTGTTTTTCTCTATTTCCCTTTCCTTTCTTTCTTTCTGTCTTTCTTTCTTTCATTCTTTCTTTCCTTCTTTCTTTCTTTCTTTCTTTCTTTCATCCATTCATTCTTTTCAAAACTCCCTTTATGTCTTTTCTTTCTTTCTTTCTTTCTTTCTTTCTTTCTTTATTTATTTATTTATTTATTATTTGTACCTACCCTAATTATTTTCCCTAGTGTTTTTCTCTTTTTCCCTTTCCTTTCTTTCTTTCTTTCTTTCTTTCTTTCATTCTTTCTTTCTTTCTTTCTTTCTTTCTTTCTTTTCAAAACTCCCTTTATGTCTTTTCTTTCTTTCTTTCTTTCTTTCTTTATTATTTGTACCATCCTAATTATTTTTCCTAGTGTTTTTCTCTTTTTCCCTTTCTTTCTTTCTTTCTTTCTTTCTTTCTTTTCTTTCTTTCTTTCTTTGTTTATTTCTTATTTGTACCTACCCTAATTAGTCTTACTAGTGTTTTTCTCTTTTTCCTTTTTCTTTCTCTCTTTCTTTTTTCTTTCTTTCTTACTTTCTTTCTTTCTTATTTGTACCTACTCTAATTAGTTTTAGTATCGTTTCCTCTTTTTGTCTTTCTTTCCTATTTTACCTTCTCTTATTAGTTTAAGTAGTGTTTTTCTTCTTTTCTTTCTTTCTTATTTGTACCTACTCCAATTAGTTTTACTAGTTTTTTCTCTTTTCCCTTTAATTTCATTCTTTCTTTCTTTCATTCCTATTTCTTATTTTTTTTCTTTCTTATTTTTACCTTCTCAAATTACTTTCGTTAGTGTTTTTCTTCTTTCTTTCCTTTCTTTCTTTCTTTCTTATTTCACCATCACTTTTGTTTTAGTACTGTTTTTCGTATTTCTTTTTCTTTCTTTCTTTCTTTTCTTTTCTTTTCTTTCTTTCTTTCTTTCTTTCTTATTGTTACCTAATCTAATCAGATTGGTAATCTTCTGAATTCCATCTACTTGTTCGTATTTTTCTGAATTACGTGTTCCAGAAAGACAATGCACAAGTGTTTCGTCCGCCATGAACGCAGGGAGGACTTCAGAAGTGAAGTAGGCTTTTTGAATTATTTACATTCTCACGGCCGCTCAAATTAGAATTGAAGAGACGGCCTTCTTCTACCAAGAAGTGGCAACCATTATATATATATATATATATATATATATATATATATAAATATAGATAACTAGACTCGTTTCGAAAAACCCTCGAATTTTTGATTTGCTAATCAAATCAATCTCGAGGGTATAAAAAGGTTTTAAAAAAAGAAAGAGCTACAAACATGAACTTCTGCCGACAAAAAATCGCACAGATGCAGGTTTGAAGCCCAAAGAAAAAACCCCGATACGAGTAACAACTAACTAACAAAAAGCGCTCAATACAACCGTAGAGCAGACCTAGATACACCTAGTGAGCCAGACAAACCTATTTAGGTTTCACCTAAACGGATCGTCAGGGAAAGTTTGGCTCCAAACTTTCCCTGACGATCCGTTATATATATATATATATATATATATATATATATATATATATATATATATATATATATATATATATATATATATGTGTGTGTGTGTGTGTCGGATTGAGGAATCGGAGGGCCGTGTTCGAATTCTAGTGAATTCATTACATTCACTTATGTGCTATGTGAGAAAGGTTTTATTCCTGTTTTCCCTCCAGCTATGAGTAAATAACAGTATAGAGTAGGTTCTATAGCCTTGGATGTCAACTGGTCTAGGAGAAGGACAACTCAGAATTCAAAACCTGTGTAGGACCTAATGACCCGTAGTGAACCAGGTCTCCGTATTCGGCCCTTTAGAAAGTGTGGTTGGTTCTACACAAACCTTAACCACTATAATCAAATTATATGTGCTAGTGTCTGGGCTGTTGGTTCCTCACAACTCAGCTGCTTGACACTCATACGCCGAATACGACGGAAGCGTCCACCATATATATATATATATATATATATATATATATATATGATTAATTTGAAAATTTTTTTCACTTAACTCATGTTTACATAGAAATTTCGTTCTAACATAGATATGACCACTCGTCAGAACAGAGTTACACTGCTGATATTTCTTGATACTTTTGTGCATTTATAGTAGGAGAGTGTTATCTTCCTTTTGGCTTGATCGGTGTTGATTAATGGCTGACTTTTCTTTCTCTCACTTCAATTTTTCCTTTATTGTTTCTTTTATTCTTTCTTCACGTTCTCCATTGATTTCTGGATTATTTCTATAGTGTTGGCAATTTAGGTTCTGGCTGGGTTTTTTTTTTTTGTGTGTGTGTGTGTATGTCTTTCTTTCTTCCTTTCTTTCTAACACCATACTTACTCTTTCTTTCTTTATTCCTTTCTTCCTTTTTTTCTTTCTAAGACTATATTTACTTTTTTCTAACATTATCTGTCTTTCCTTGCAACTCATACTTTCTTTCTTTCTTTCTAACGCCATACTTTCTTTCTTTTTTCTTTCGAAGACTATACTTAATTTTTCTTTCTTTCTTTCTTTCTTTCTTTCTTTCTTTCTTTCTTTCTTTCTTTCTTACAACATACTTTCATTCTTTCTTTCCCAAAGTAAACGAGGTACTAGTGGTAGCCTGAATATCGGTGACAGACTTTGAACGATATGACCTGCAGTATCCCTCCCATCAGTATGACAGATGGCTTCACCCAGTCTTTCTTATAAAAATGGACTCCTTCCTGTTCCATGTGATTGACGCAATATAAAGAGTATTAATGGCAGATATGGAAATATAACGGATATACGGATTATCAAAGCGTGGCTTCCACTAAATGGAGAGAAAACGTTCGTTAGAAATAAAGAAAATAGTCCCAAACTATTACGTCTTATCTATCCTCCAATATGGCAATGAATAACAGACTCTATCATCAGAGAAATGAAAAGAGACTGAAGCGAGAGAGAAATTTAAAAAAGATGCAAACGACAAAGAAAGGCTCAAGCAAAAGAGAAATGAACAGAAAATCAAGCTTAAAAATTTAGCGTTGTTCACATGTTTGGTATAGGGTATTCCTATCATCCTTCTGTAGAGCCATATTTCTGTTGCTTCCTTACTTAACTCATTTTCTACCCGTCGATTTTCTGCGGGTTCCCGTCCTAGATTATTTTAATATCCTTTCCAAATATGCCATGGCTATTATATTGGTACTCCAAATTAGTGGCGTTGTGCCAGACAAGCTTAATAACATCACTATGAATGTACATGAAACTAGCCTATTGTTTTAGACATTGTTAATTGAAAAGTGGCAATTTAGCACCAACGCCTACTGGTGTCCGCGAACCCGACCATGAAAATCGAGCCGAACGGAATCGTACCTATTTGTGTCGAGATTAATGTAGCAATGGCGGGGAATAGAAATGTCTTGAACACGTATCAGTTTGTTAATGGCGTTGGGGTTTATGATAGGAGCCGATGTTGTGGTGGGGATCGTTTGCGCGTGTAACCGCATCAAGTGTGAATTAATGAGTTTTGTTTCAGAGAATTCAAGGCTGTGACGTAAACTATCTGAAGGAAGAAAGGAAGGAATGAAGGAATGAGGAAGGAAGAAAGGAAGGAATGAGGAAGGAAGGAAGGAAGGAAGGAAGGAAGGAAGGAAGGAGGAAAGAAAGAAGGAAGGAAGGGAGGGAGGGAGGAAGGAATGGGGAGAGAAGGAAGGAAGGAAAGAAGGAATAAGGAAGGAAGGAAAGAATGAATGAAGGAAGGCAGGAAGGAAGGAAGGAAGGCATGAAGGAAGGAAGGAAGGAAGGAATGGGGAAAGAAGGAAGGAAGGAAGTAAGGAAGGAAGGAGGAAGGAAGGAAGGAAGAAAGGAAGGGAGGAAGGAAGGAAAGAAGGAAGGAATGAGGAAGGAAGGAAGGAAGGAATGAGGAAGGAAGGAAGGAAGGAAGGAATGAACGAAGCTATGAAGGAAGGAAGGAAGGAAGGAAGGAAGGAAGCGAGGAAGGAAGAAAGGAATGAATGAAGGAGGGAAGGAAGGAATGAATGAATGAATGAAGGAAGGAAGGAAGGAAGGAAGGAAGCGAGGAAGGAAGAAAGGAATGAAGGAAGGAAGGAAGGAAGGAAGGAAGGAAGGAAGGAGGAAGGAAGGAATGGGGAAAGAAGGAAGGAGGAACGAAGGAAGAAAGGAAGGGAGGAAGGAAGGAAAGAAGGAAGGAAAGAAAGAAGGAAGGAATGAGGAAGGAAGGAAGTAAGAAATGAGGAAAGAAGGAAGGAATGAGGAAGGAAGAAAGGAAGGAAGGAATGAGGAAGGAAGGAACGAACGAATGAGTAAGGAAGGAAGGAAGGAAGGAATGAGGAAGGAAGGAAGGAAGGAATGAACGAAGCAATGAAGGAAGGAAGGAATGAAGGAATGAATGAATGAAGGAAGGAAGGAAGGAAGGATGCTATGAAGGAAGGAAGGAAGGAAGGAAGGAAGGAAGGAAGGAAGGAAGGAAGGAAGGAAGGAAGGAAGGAAGCGAGGAAGGAAGAAAGGAATGAATGAAGGAGGGGAGGAAGGAATGAATGACTGAATGAAGGAAGGAAGGAACGAAGGAAGGAACGAAGGAAGGAACGATGGAAGGAAGGAAGGAAAAGTAATTAGAAGCGAAGATAAATGTTTAAGGAACGAATGATGACATTGAAGAAAGAAATAAAGAAGGAAAGAAAGAAAGAAAGAAGGCCATTATAAATGAAAGGTTGGAAAGAAAAGTAAGTTGCTAAAATCTGAAAGAAAGACAAAAAGAAAGAGAGAGAGAGAGAGAGCGGCGATTATCGATGAAAAGTTTGAAAGAAAGACGGAAAGAGAGATTGAAGAAAAGAAAATTATGCATTTAAAGTCGGAAACAAAGATGGATAGAAAGCAAGAAACAAAGAAGAACGTCATAGATGAAGAATTTGAAAGAAAAACGGAAAGAAAAAAGGAAAGAAAGAAAAAAAGAAAGAAGAAAAGAAAGAAAAATGAACGAACGAAAGAAGGAAAAAAGAAAGAAAGAACATAAATATGTAAAAGTTTGAAGAAAGTAAGAAAGACTGAAAAAATTATGTATAAAAATCTGAACTGAAGAATATTATGTCAAATATCGATCAAATAGATAACAAATAAAGAACTCAATATATATATATATATATATATATATATATATATATATATATATATATATCATTGATGCATGTGTCATTAAATAATATAGACAAGTTTTATCTATTTTAAGTAAGTTCCTTTCATATTGTCTGATAAGATTAATAACATTATCATTGAAAGACGAAAGGAAATCACCATATTGATACATGTTTAAATCCATTCTAAGCTTTCGGTCGGCTTACATAAGCCATTATCAAAGATGATAATTACTTTTCAATATATCAACCAATACACGGACGAAACAATAATGATAGTCTGTTTTTGCTGCATGAAAAATTTCAAAGCAACGACAACCTCGTGTATACGAGACGCGGAATGATAATGTTATTAAGCTTATCAGACAATATGAAAATAAACAGACAAAACTTGTCTATATTATTTAATGAAACATGCATCAATGAAAAATTGCTGCCTAAATATAGACAATTTAAATTACATGATCCATCAGCCCACCGAACTATCAACACTTGGAATTATTGACGCGATTTTATATAATATAAAACGCTCAAATATAAATTTTTGTATAATATAAAACGCTCAAACACTAATATTCCATGGTTATAATTTTTTATTTACATTGGAATCGTAAGCACGAGCCAATTCATCAGACTTGTCTGATGAATTGGATCATGCTTACGATTCCAATGTAGCAGAAAAATATGGAAAATAAAGTATAATATATATATATATATTTAAAAATTCACATTATAACCAAAAACGTTTCCAGTATCTCTTTTCTTTTAAAATATACACTTTCTCTCGTTGGAACAACTTTAATTCGTCCCCTACACACACACACACACACACACACACACACACACACACACACACAAATACACAAATACACATACACACACACACAGACACACACACACACATAGACACAAATACACACACATACACACACACACATAGACACAAATACACATACACACACACACTCACATAGACACAAATACACATACATACACACACACATAAACACAAATACACATACACACACACAGATAGACACAAATACACATACATACACACACACACAAATACACATACATACATACACACACAGACACAAATACACACACACACATAGACACAAATACACATACATACACACGCACACATAGACACAAATACACACACACACATAGACACAAATACACATACACACACACACACCCATAGACACAAATACACATACATACACACACACACATAGACACAAATACACATACACACACACACACACACTAGGTGGATAAACTGTTGTCTAAATTACGCAAAAATGACACTGACTTCTCATTTTAAATATTGTAAAATAGTCCCTTTAGAAGCTTAAAGGGTTGAAATAGGACCACAGCCACCCCCATACGTTGAATTCTTCTGACTTGAGTCCTTCAGGACAATTTAAATAACCATAAGTTTGACGGTGCAGTCAGTCGAAAAATACGCCACAACGTTATTCCAACAAAAGACGCGAGGTCTCTATGAAAATGGCGTCAACATGCTTTTGTAGAACGATGGCAGACAGTTGTGAAAAACAATGGAGTCTATGAACTTCACTAATAAATGTTTTTTTTGTGAGTATGTAAAATTTTGTTTCTAATTTTCTAATCGGGCACAAACTATTTCAGTAATCTAATACATACATATATATATATATATATATATATATATATATATAATCTGTTATATAATCCAATTTTAAAATATATATATATATATATATATATATATATTTAAATTTTATGTTGTGTTAAAAGGAGTATTATACCAACAGATTATATATATATATATATATATATATATATATATATATATATATATATATATATATATATATATATATATATATTTAAAATGTATACATATATATTGTCGGAGGACCGGATGGAGTAGTAACGTCTTATTCTAACCTAATTTCAACGAAGAAATAAATTGAATAACATATGTATTTCCCCTTTCTCCTCGGTAATTTTATCATTTTAAACTTAATAGTGATTAAATTTGGATTTTAAAATTGGCAGTTTTTAATTTTAATATCAAATTCTATCATATAATTTAATAATTATTGGTTAGCATAAATTCTTTTTTTAAATTTTACCCGTATTTTAACGATCTGAATAGCTATTATAACATGACTTCGTTGTCAGGCTTTTTGAATTTTCCTATACTTGTATTTTGATTGGTCATTCTAGCTTTTGGAAGAACGTTTTCCTCTTGTGAAGGATTGTTAATTAATTCGAAACTTTTAAAACCATTTATTTTACATTCAACATCATCACTTGATAAGACACCGGGAGTGTTGAAACAAAATGGCTATTTTTGTAGTGATTTTATAAGATGTTTATGTTATAAATTTTTAAATAAATAATTATATATATATATATATATATATATATATATATATATATATATATATATGTCGGATTGAGTAATCCGTTGGTATAATCCAGGCGAGTCGGTTTAACACAACATAGAATTTGAAATATGTTAAAACTGATTCACAAAAGACCAGTTTATGTTTATTCACAATAAACAAAGCAAATTTTCTTTACAATTGTAATGAGTAAAATTTAGTAAATGAACATTTTTACGTTTGAATTATGATTTTTTTCAAATTCATTGGGATTTTTCACACTGTCTGGTATCGGCTTGCAGTGTACAGTTTATATATATATATATATATATATATATATATATATATATATATATATATATATATATATATGAAAATATATAGAAAATAGGAAAAGAACTTGTTAGGTAAATAATCAAAAGTTCTTTAGTATTTTTGTTATTATTTTAAAAATAGTGCCCGATACAAAAGTAGAGCATAAATATAATTATTTATTTAAAAATATGATTCCAACACGCTACATAAGAGGTCTCATGTTTCAAAACAAGAGCCGAAAACTTCAATATAATTATTTTAATTAAAGTAAGCTCTGTTCCATCATCAAGCGAAATTTTTTTTGAATAACTTATTTCTGAAATTTACGTGTTTTCATAGCATATTCATAATTAAAATCAAAATTTCCATGGTAACAGCCAGGGCGATTGTTTACATAGGGAGGTGTGTTGGGTGTTAATAATATGTATCAGTATAGAGTTACATTCATAGATGTCAAGTCAGGGTAAGGTGGGGGTGTCTAAATTTAAAACGGAAGATGTTTTCGCCTAGTCTGGTTTACGTGTCTATGGAGATTTATTTATTTATTTATTTATTTTATTTCTTTCTGAAAGGGTTTTGTGCATATAAAAAAACTGCCGTAACATTCGTTTTTTGACGACTTCATAAAGGGTTATCTTTTTTGTAGGGTATTTAAACTATTTATTAGGGCTATGGATTATACAAATTATTTTATTGTATGTTTGTTTTTATGCTAATTATTCAATGCAAAAATTTGATGATGTCGGCAAAAAACCGTTAACTCATGTCTATTGTTTAATAGATTTTTATTATTTAGAAACTTAATAATGTGCAGTTTCTCATGGAGGCACAAAGGGCATGGGTCATCCCAAGTTTTACAAGTTCTAGTCCTGTTTATAATTTTCCATTTTACTTTAGGTGTCCTATTTATTTCCTTCAAATGCCAAAAAAATAACAACGACATTCTCATGAGATGCAATCAAATGATTTTCCGACATAGTCCCATTGCGGTTCACAAACTTCTTCCCAACCTGGTGGTGAAAAAATTCATAAAAAGGAGATGACGTCATCATCATTGCGATACTAGTTCTTATCGAAGTTTTTTTTTTTCATGTTGGAGAACAGATGATAGTCAAATCAGGCAGAGAAGGGGGGTGATCAAACTGTTTAAAGCCACAAATACGCACAGCAGCCATTGAGGCCAAGGACTTATGTGCTGGAGCATTGTGTTGATGAAACAAGACCGCTTTCATCAATTTTCCATGGCGTCTGGTCTTGATAGACTTTCCTAACTATATCAGCGTGTTTGCATAGTACTCTCCATTGATGGTGTGGCCCTTTTGAAGATAGTCAATAAACACAAAGAAAATAAGGTCATCACCAACCCTAGAAATGAAACGACCTTGGCCCCTCTTTGGAGCACATGCGGAGGAGTGTTTCCACTGTGGGGTTTGTCGCTGTCTCTGGCTCAAAGTGAGGAACCCCAACAATCATCCTGAGTTAGGACAGGTTCAAGGAAACTAGCTGGATCTGCTGCAAACAATGTCATATTTTCAAGTGATGTGACCAGACTGGTGCGCATTTGATCAGGTGTCAGAAGACATGTCATTCACCGAACAGAAACTTTCGTCATAGCAGGCTCATTATGCAGAACTGTCTCACGTGATATGCTAATTGCAATGGCTATTTGACCTTATAGTCAATCGCCTACCACCCATTATCGTGTGGTGAAGACGATCAATGTCTTCCTCAGTGGTGGCAGTTGCAAGACGTCCGGACTTTGCGACATCTTTGCCCTAAGGTAGCAACCATGGCAGCATGAAATTCCTTGGGGACTAAACACTTTTTCTGCTTGATAACACCACGATGCCATTCTTTTTCTATTTTCAAGAGAAGATTACAGCACCTGGTATTCTTGACTAGGCACGACATTGCTTAACTTCGATGATCGAACGAAAAGCATCAACGGGATGTCGTCGTAGGCACTTTATACCGCCCGCACATCAAAGCTTAAAGCAGCTGGTATTCTCGAGCGATCACCCATCTAAGTACTGACCAGGCCCAACGTTGCTTAACTTCAATGATCGTACGAGAAACGGTGTTTCAACATGATGTCACCGTTGACACTTTATACCAACCGCACATAAAAGCTTACAGCAACTGATATTCCCAAGCGGTCACCCATCTAGGTACTGATCAGGCTTAACGTTGCTTAACTTCGATGATCATACGAGAACCAGTGTTTCAATGTGATGTCGCCGTAGGCCCGTTATACCGGCTGCACATCCATGCTTACGGCACCTGGTATTCCCTAGCGATCACCCATCAAGGTACTGACCAGGCTCAAAGTTGCTTAACTTCAGTGATCGTAAAAAAACGATGTTTCAAACTGATAATGGCCATAAACACTCTATATAATACTCGCACATTCAATGTTACAGCAACTGGTCACCCATCTAGGTACTAATAGTACTAACCAGACTCAACGTTGCTTAACTTCGATGATCGTACGAGAACCTGTGTTTCAACGTGATATAGGCCCTTTATAGCGCCCGCATGTCAAAGGTTACAGCACCTGGTATTCCCGAGCGATCCCCCATCTAGGTACTGACCAGGGCCGACGTTGCTTAACTTCGATGATCGTACGAGAACCGGGGTTTCAATGTGATAATGACCATAATCCCTCTATATAACACTTGCACATCCAAGCTTTCAGCAACAGGTCTTCCTAAGTGGTCATCCATCTAAGTAATGACTAAGTTCGACGTTGCTTAACTTCGGTGATTGTACGAGAGACGATGTTTCAATGATATCTGACTGTAAGCCTTCTCTTTAATTTATTTAAAAGCGAAAGTGACATGGCTGTCATGGTTCTCCACAGCGTCCTCTTCTTCAATAGCTTCTTCAGAATGATGGCATCTCGTTGCTTTTTTCCACGGTTCGGAATTCACATGGATCCATGTCTTTTCCAAGGTTCGGATTTGATCTCGGTTCGCCAGTTCCACTTTGACGCTCCGTTAACCGCTATACTACCGGTACGTCGCTTTCAAAATTTACCAGGAACGAAAATAAAACATAGAGAGTAGATGAACGCATGCCAAAGATCACAAAAGAAAGGATGACCTCATTCACCCCACCCACATGCAAATACACAATATATATATATATATATATATATATATATATATATATAGAGAGAGAGAGAGAGAGAGATAGCTATGAACATAGATAGGTAGATAGATAGATAGATAGATAGATAGATAGATAGATAGATAGATATGAACAGACTGAGATAGATAGATAGATAGATAGATAGATAGATAGATAGATATGAACAGAATGAGATAGTTGTGGGCACAATTAGAATAGATAGATAGATAGATAGATAGATAGATAGATAGATAGCTATGAACATAGGTAGATATGAACAGACTGAGATAGATAGATAGATAGATAGATAGATAGATAGATAGATAGATAGATAGATAGATATGAACAGAATGAGATAGGTGTGGGCACAATTAGAATAGATAGATAGATAGATAGATAGATAGATAGATATGAACAGAATGAGATAGTTGTGGGCACAATTAGAATAGATAGATAGATAGATAGATAGATAGATAGATAGATATGAACAGAATGAGATAGTTGTGGGCACAATTAGAATAGATAGATAGATAGATAGATAGATATGATAGATAGATGAGATAGATATGAACAGAATGAGATAGTTGTGGGCACAATTAGAATAGATAGATAGATAGATAGATAGATAGATAGATAGATAGATAGATAGATATGAACAGAATGAGATAGGTGTGGGCACAATTAGAATAATATAGATAGATAGATAGATAGATAGATAGATAGATAGATAGATAGATAGATAGATAGATGAATGAATATGAACAGAATGAGATAGGTGTGGGCACAATTAGAATAGATAGATAGATAGATAGATAGATAGATAGATAGATATAGATAGATAGATGAACAGAATGAGATAGTTGTGGGCACAATTAGAATAGATAGATAGATAGATAGATAGATAGATAGATAGATAGATAGATAGATAGATAGATAGATATGAACATAGATAGATATGAACAGAATGAGATAGTTGTGGGCACAATTAGAATAGATAGATAGATAGATAGATAGATAGATAGATAGATAGATAGATAGATAGATAGATAGATATGAACAGAATGAGATAGTTGTGGGCACAATTAGAATAGATAGATAGATAGATAGATAGATAGATAGATAGATAGATAGATAGATATGAACAGAATGAGATAGTTGTGGGCACAATTAGAATAGATAGATAGATAGATAGATAGATAGATAGATAGATAGATAGATAGATAGATAGATACGAACGGACCGAGATAGATAGATAGATAGATACGAACGGACCGAGATAGATAGATAGATAGATATGTACAGACTGAGATAGATAGATATGTACAGAATGAGATAGATAGATAGATAGATAGATAGATAGATAGATAGATAGATAGATAGATAGATAGATATGAACAGAATGAGATAGTTGTGGGCACAATTAGATAGATAGATAGATAGATAGATAGATAGATAGATAGATAGATAGAGTCGAGAGGGAAGGGATGACGCAGATAAAAAAGGAGGAAAAGAAAGAGAGAAAGGAAAGAGGAAAAATATATGTAGAGAGAAGGAGGGAAACGAAAAGGAAAAAAGCACAGAAAGAAAAAACGAAACGAAACGAAACAAAAGAGAAAAGACATTTAAAGAAAGAAAGAAAGAAAGAAAAGAAAGAAAGAAAACAAAGGAAGAAAACGAGAGAGAAAAGTGGCATTGACAGCACGAAAGAAAGAAAAGGAAAGAAAGAAAAGAAGCGTTGAAAGAAAGAAAGAAAGAAAGAAAGAAAATGAGCGGCTCGAAGGGTTCTTCCAGAAGTCAGTTTAAGCCAATGCTTAAGTGGCAGGCTTTAATGTAGACGTGACTGCGCATGCGTTGATTTCCATTTTCTAACGTGTTTATCAGTAACGCTTTTTCAAGCGTGTTCGAGTGTTTTGGCAAAAATCCTGCCCTCTGGTTCCGTTGAAAGGTTGGACAAGATGCAAAATGTCTTCTAGTCTTCGAACTGTGATTAAAAGACCGGGGCAGGCCAGGGTAGGACAAAGTAGTGTTAGAGGGTAGAGAATGCAGGATGCCGACGTGACGTGGCGGGGGGGTGTCGTGATCTGACAGCGGTAACCTTCAATGGTCTTCGCACACATCTTTGGCGTCTCCTGTGTCGCGTTTCTATCCTTTCTACTGATTTCCTTACCAATACCAAGCGCATTTTCTCTAATCCTCCTGGTTGTTTAATTCTCCTCTTCCTATTCCTCGTAAACTCTCAATACACCCCTCTCTACAGATGCTCTTTTTTCGTACATCCTCCTCTGCCCATTCCCTTCCGCATCTCTTTTTCTACCCTCCCTCCTCGCGCGACGTTTCTTCTGAATATTTTTTCACCTTCATTTTACAGTTGATACATTAGCACCTTAAGTGATCAACAGACCACACACACACACACACACACACACATATATATATATATATCATAGAAAATATTCGTCCTTTGACAGGATTCGAACCTGCATCCTATACGGAACCGTCATTTACGCTGACGTGCCTAACCTCTCGGCCACAAAGGAACGTTCGGTAGTTTATCAGCAGTAAATTCGACCTTGCCTACAGACTTGGATGCCAACTAGTCTAGGAGAAGGACAACACTGAATTCAAAACCTGGGGAGGGTCGTTTGGGTATCTTTGTGGCACACGGTGCGTCAGGTCTCTGTAATCGGCTCTTCAAAAAGTGTGGTTGGTTCGGCTACAAAACCTTCACCACTGTAATCAAGCCATATGTGCAGGTTGACTGGCTATTGTTTCCCTGGTTCAGCCCGCGATCAACGACAGGAGAGTTTACAATATATATATATATATATATATATATATATATATATATATATATATATATATATATATAAAAGGTGTTCCAGTAACTTGGACCAATTTTAATTTGAATTAAGTTTAAGCGTCTAATGATTTTTTCAACCCCCATGACAAAACAGTATTAATAAAAACTCTACACTAAAATTAGATGATAATAGGGAAAAATTATGTAACTGTAGAAACCCAGAAGACTGCCCATTAGAAAATAAATGTTGTATTAAGTCAGTGGTATACCAATGTACTATTTCATCCACAGAGAGCCCTAGCACTAATATGATATACATTGGGTCCACGAAGAATAATTTTAAAGATAGATGGAGGCAGCATAAGTGCTCCTTTAATAATATAAACAAAAGAAATCAGATTTCACTATCAAAATATTTTTGGCACTTGAAGGAAACAAATAAGACACCAAAAGTTAAATGGAAAATTATTGACAAGGCTAGAATATGTAAAGCTTGGGATGACCCATGCCCTTTGTGCCTCCATGAAAAATTGCACATTATTAAACTTCTAAATAATAATAATCCATTAAATAATAGACACGAGTTAACGGTTTTTTGTAGGCATCATCAGATTTTTGGTTTGAAATAAAAAAAAATTATATAACTTGTTTAACAAATAGCCCAATCATCAGATTCATAGTAGAAATTATTAACTACAAACTTGCATACAACATAACACCCTTCATAATCCATAGCCCAAATTAGTAGTTTAAATACCTTACATAAAAGATAACCCTTTATGAAGTCGTCAAAAAACAAACGTTACGAAAGTTTTTCTTTTTATTATGTACAATTCCTTTCATAATAAAATAAAATAAAATAAATAAATAAATCTCCATAGACAAGCCAACTTGACGAAAGCTTAATACATCTTCGTTTCATTTTTGACACCCCCACCTTTCCCCGACTTGACACCTTGAAAGTATCTCTATACCGCTACTTATTATTAACACCCTACACTCGCCTACCCATTTTAGACAATTCACCATAGCTGTTACCATGGGGATTTTGATTTCAATTTTTAAAACAAGTAAATTTCAGATATACGTTATTCCAACAAAAATTTCGCTTGAAGATGGAACGGAGCCCTTTTTAATTTCAACTCAATTTAATTTAAAGGATTATATTGAAGTTTTCGGCTCTTGTTTTGAAACATAAGACCTCTTATGTAGCGATTTGGAATCATATTTTAAATCAATAATTATATATATATATATATATATATATATATATATATATATATATATATATATATATATATATATATATATATATAGTATTTATTTAAAAATATGATTCCAAATCGCGACATGTCCCATGTTTCAAAACAA